CCCAAGAAATTGCTCTGAAACAGTACAAAGAAGGTCCAGAGAAAGAAAAAGGCACAGTCTATGTCCCCTTATCTAGGACTTAAGACATAAAAATGCAACTAATTCACAGAGGCTGAAATTGGCTCAGTTTACTCTTCTGCACAGGGGAAATGTCTTTTCCATCATGTCCTCCTTACAATAGAACCCAAGACACCACAAGGAATTGTAAGATGGTCTCCATATGTTCATTATAATTGGGTTTCAAACTCTACATCAATTTGTTCTTTTTAAAGAAAGCTATCCCCTGGTCAACTGTATTGTTTTCACTCAAAAAAGGAAGCACAGGATTATTTGAGGGAATGGGTTTTTCTTAAGAGCCAATGGTGGCCCTGGAGGTAATAGAACTCTTTCTTACTTTTTTTCATCATCAAACCAAGGAATTCCCCTTTTATGTCTATACATAATGCATGAGGTGAGATGGTCACCATTAAATAATTTATTAGGTGCCCAGTTACTGAGCCTCATCCCACCAAGCAGAATCTATCTCGAGTAACTTTTTTCTCACCCCATCTTCTCAAATCTCCACCAATCTTTTTAGACAGGTTTTCTTTCTATGCTGCTGGTAAAACCACACTGTCAAAAATACCCAAAAGCCCCACTAACTTCAAGGCTCCAACCTCATCTGTGTCCCCTGGAAAACGCTCAGTGCAAAATCGACCCCCAAAGCACAGGCTGTGTGTCCACTAGTCTGGTAGGGCCTGGAAAAGGAAAAACAGCTCTGGTCAGAGAGAGCTCAAGGGGGTCCCAGCGTTCCATCTGGTGCTCAGCATGGTGGGCTTGTGTCCACCAGAATTCCCCACGGCTGACCTGGGGTCAGGGTCTTACAGAGGAGGCTGGGTGGGTGCTCCTTTACAGTCACGTTTCGGTAGACCCTGGGTGCTCAGAGCAGGAGGGAGCATGGGATCCGGGGCCTATCCCCACCTGGATCATGCTCCACTCTAGAACTTCAAAGACATCCATTAGGCTGGGCCCAGCTCTCGAACAGGTAGCTTGGGGGAGAGGTGGGGCCTTTCCCTGGAGGGCCCAACATTACAATGTGAGATGTAGGTGAAGGAGAGAAGGCGTGAGCAAGTCATGGGGTGAAATCATCTCGTGGCCACCTCTCATCTGCTCTACCAACCTTGGCTGCAGGTCAGATCCTAGAAAAGAGAACTCCAGGGCCAGAAGGGGCTGCAATTGCCAGCCTCTTGTGGCCCTAGCCTGGAACGTGGGCCCACAGCAGGGCTGGTGTCCGGTAAACAGAGGGCTCCACTGAACCCCTGACTCCCAGACAGGCCTTCCCTGCTTTGCTTCTTTCCTCCTCAGGTAGCTCTGCCTTGGAGCAGTTTCAGAGTTTGAAAGAGATTAGTCATCTTGGCCAGATGGTCATGTATAGCCAAGTCCTCATTTTCTGCATTTCTGCCTTCATGGCAAAGTGGCAAAACCACCAAGGAGGAGGACCTAGAGCGGGTAGGAAAGGGTAATAAATACTGGCTGGAAACCCTGGGTTGGTCTCAGGGTTCCTTTGAAGGATCCACAGTCCAGACTTCGGGATGTGAATCCTGTTGCTCCTACCGCAGTTCAACCAACTAGATACAGACAAGAAGTTAGTCTCTCTCTGTGTATGTCTGTCTCCCTGGAAAAATTAATTTTTCTTTGGCAGATGGTTGAGTCACAAAGACAGAAGGATTCATAAAATTCACATGAACATCCTGTAAACATTTAAACACATAAAGATTAAATAAGGCAACCACGACCTTGATTAAAGTTAAACTTTTTTTTCTTTTTTTTAATGCCTACCAGCCCTACAACCTGCAATTTGGAGGCTCACCTCCCCACCTCTTCTGACACGGTCAGCTCTCACTGGGCCTGTGGCGTGTTCAAGCAGCTGTCTGATTAATTTGTTTTACAATGGGAAATTAAAGGCAGCAGAAGAAAGCAATGATTCGGACCACCTAAACACAAGAACATTACTAGTTCTCTATTAAACCGGACAGACTTTATACAATACAAGGAAAAGTCAAAATAAAAGCCAGGGACGGAAGCACTATGTACCTGCTCTGTCTCAGCCCCTCCTGCTTCCTAATTGTTTCATCCCCACCAGAGACCAGGAGGTTTGGCTATGGTTGAAAATTCTCACCTAATGAGGCAAAATGGCTTACTGAAGCTCACAACAGACTGATAGGACTTGAGTCGTGGCCCCTGTGGCTTCAGCTGGAGCTTTGCCCCCAGACTGCCCAGCCCCACATCAAAGTTGCGCACCACCCCCTCCACAATCAGCTTGTGAGATTAGCACTGCCCTCCCACGGCGAAATTTTATGGACCAAATCTGCCCTGCCACCAGGCTCAGCAGCATAATCTTACCAGCAGCTTAAACCCACGCTTCTCTAAGGCCAGAACACCGTGGGACTCCAGTGGGACTCCCGGGAGGTGATATGTAGCTTTAAACATCTGGAGGTGGAAGCATACACGTGTCAGCTTCCCTGCACTGTCAGGCTGTTCAATACGCCGAAGCTTGAAGATTTTGCCAGTAGTGTTTGTTACCTAGTATAAATTTGCCCTTTCTTACAATGCTTTTATTGCTCTTGGCTAAGAATACCGGACAGAGACGGGAGAACTGACTCTCACAGGCAGGCCTGCCGCCTTGCAGGGGAACTTGAACTTGATGTGCACAAAGCTGACAGTTCCTTGAAGGCCTTGTCAACCACCCATCCAGTAAACCCTGCCACTACCTGGAGTAAAAACCGAGCAAAAACCACAAGCACATATAGACTCTGTGCACCTGTCTCGAAGCAATTATTGACATTATCACTATACAATGAATTGCTTTTTGAAGTTGTTTTCCTGATATTTAGCAGTCTGAATACTAATCCCCTTAACAAAACTGTCCCCATGCTTTCCCTCCTCCCCTGCCCCCCTAATCTCCTTCTCTCCAGGGAGGGCGGGGGCTGGGGACCAGTCAGTCGACTTTGCCGCACCTGGATTTGCATTGATGCCTCTCTTGTCATTCATGTTACCAACAGGAATTAGCATAAGGCATTAAGGGAAACTCTGGAGGAGAAAAGAAAGGCCATTTTGATGGAAATAAGGGGCAAAGGAATAATCTGCCATCAACTAAAATGCTTATTTGTGTATGGTTTCCCAAGCAAAGCTTAGAAAAAGCCTATGTTGATTTTAGTGTACACAAAGAAACCTTAATCCTTTCAAGGCAACTAAATCACCCCCAGAAAAGCAGCTCAGAAGAAAGGCACCCTGTCAGGGGGATGACTATTCACAACCAAATAGACGCCACAAATCACACTCTGTAAGTAAACAAAAATAAGAATGTGGGAAATGTTTGATTGCAAAGGGAAGGGGGGGCAGAAGTGAGGGAGTTTGGGCCGTGGGGCGGGACTCTCTCATCAATCACTCTTCAACCTCCCCGAAGAGAGCCTTTCAGCTGGGCGAGGGCAGCGAGGGCCTGAACGCAGGCCCCAGGGCCAGCTCCCACTCTAGGGCTGATCCCAGAGAGGGGAAACACATTCCAGAGCTTTTTAGAGCCACCGAGCAGAAGAAAGACGAGCAGCCTGAGGTCCCCGAGGGTGGGGGGAGGACAGGTGGTCACTGAAACACCTAAGACCTTTTGGGGACCTGTCCTGCTTCGTCTCCTCCTCCTCCATCTCCCCCCTTTTCCCACCCGGATCCACCAGGGTCTACCTCATCCTCTTCTCTCATCAAAATGAGCAATAAGCAATTAGGCATTTTTACAGATGAGCACTGTATGCTATGAACTGCACGCATCTTCCTTTATTGGGCTTTTAGCATTATGGATAACAAATTGATACAAACTTTCAGTCCATCAAAAAATACGATGAAATATAAAACTGGAATACTCCATTATGCAATAAAAAAGATAAAAATTCAATGTGACAATAATTCTGGGAGTGAGAGCAATCACACAAGCACATACACCTCAAGGGAACTCTAACCATAATGTACTATTTAAAACTGTAGTCAGTTCAAACACTAAAATAATCCAGGAGCTCAAAATAACTGCACTTGGAAATGTGTCTTACTAACCAGTTAGCAAAAATGCTAGCCAAGGCGAACTATAGGAGGCCGAAGTGGTTTTGAATGTCTCCCCTTTACGAAGGAAGGCCCAACTCTGCTCAAGCGCCACCAAGAATCTTCCATGTAATAAGGGAACTGAAATTACCACAGAAAGCACACCTTTATTTAGCAATTACCATGCCAGCACCTCAATCAGGTTCTACGGTGAAGAGGAAAAGATCGAACAGTTTATGTAATTTATACCTTTCAAATTATACACCTTTGTATTGCCGGTGATTAGAGACTCCCTTACATTTCATTATTTCCATCAACACTGCTACAAAGGAAAACTGCCCAGAAACCTATCACCAATGATTTAAGAGAAGTTTTCCCTTTATGTACTGTTGTATCATTAGCTTCTCTTAGTCTGTATTGCAGTTTGGAAGAAATTAATGGGATAGCACATATTTAAATTTTGCCCTCTTGCTCGTTTATTAACTTTCCAGAAAGCCCACAGCAGAGTAAGGCTTGGTTTATGACCATAATACTGCACATACTAAACACCCACTGGTTATTAGAGTCTGCAGAACAAATCAGCTATTTATAGCTCTCTGACTTCTGGGTAGTTGATAAGTAACAATAAAGTTAAGGCATTTTGAGAACTATTATTCTCCATTACTGCTTCTTCCTACATTAAATTAAAGTTATAAAGATAGTAGTGATTTCTTAGTCAAATCAATTTAAATAAGGATTCAGTGTATTCTGTTAAAATAAACTGTTCTTTCATACATCACAGAAGCATACAGATTCTGTCTCCAGCAGAAACACAATATATGAACAGTGGCTGCAGAATGAAAAAAAGAAAGGCCATTTGTTTTTTACTCTGACTTCCTAGGCAATGACAATGAGACAAAAATCAAAACCAGCCATTGCTCAGAATTCAGGTGTCTTACCTTTGTTTACAATAACAGTATTGAAGAGTTTTTCAGAGCTGGCATCTGATGCCTGAAAAACAGGAAAGGGAAAAAAATGTTATTATGGTCATTGATTTGTCATCAGCATCATCATTACTATGATTTTAAATCATTTCACTACATTTTTAGAAAAGCCTGACAGGGAAAGCAGCAATTTCCCCCAATCGTCCACAAGGTGGTGCTCTTTGACTGCATGAGATAGACCTGCAGTGCAGCTATGTGCTGGGGGGAAAATCTGATTTTAAAAAACGTGTCCTTATTAGACATATTATCTGTGCAAAACATATTTCTATGAGATGATACACAAAGCAATTCAGCTCATTCACATAAGGATTTTGCAATTTCGTTGACAGATTATTTTGGAAATGGTACTTTTTTCCCCTTGATATGTGCAGACATGCCTATTTTTAAATTTTCTTCCACAAACCAGAAATGCCTATTATTTAACGCTAAGCCTTTCCTCACTAAAAAGTGCTGACTAGCACTTGCAGAAATTAATTTAAAGATTCATCCTATGACCCCCAAGATCCCTGTTCCTTCTAGTAACCAGGATGACCTTGGTGTTGAAACAGAAGCCAACTGACCTGGCCCACAACCCAACACTATGCCTGCCATCAGCATTATATCCTTTCCATTTTCCAGAAATCCTGTCTGCTAATTATTACAGTGGCTCGAGGAAAGTGAAATAAGCCTGTTTAAACAGCAAGAGTAAAGCCAATGTAAATTATACACTCATGTGCTGGAAAATAAACACAAAGTTGGTTTGGAGGGAAGGCTGCAATGTTGCAGAAGCACGGACTATCTCTAGAACTTCTAGAAAATTTAAACAATTGAACTGAAAATCGGCATCCCCACCATATAATTTGAAGATGGATCTGCATTTGAAGTTATAATGGCGATGTTTGTGTCTGCTATTTTTGCTATGCAACCCTTGTAAATCACTTGTCTTTCACACTTTATACACAGAGACCCATGTTTTGACAAAGCAAAGCATAGAATGTTGAATAAATTTAGAGGGAACTATAAGAAATAGGGGGAGGGCTTATCTGAATTACAGCATATTCTGACTCTGGGGCTGGCTTTTGGGGACAAAGAAGATACTCAATTTAGCCTTTCTGTGCTATATTGATGAAAAAGATATTTTTGTGTATATCTGGCGAACATGTTCTAGTTCTTGATGCAAGTGATACAGAGAGACATAAAATATTTTTATTATGAGGATTTTTTCCCTTTCTTTTCCTTCTAAGCTTCCTCCTGTAGGGGTGTTTCGGAAAATTAATGGATCAAGGGAAAAGAGGAATGGATGAGTAAAACAAGTGTGGGACTGCATATACGTTTACGCATAAACAGTTTAAAATAAATCCTAGATAGCTTTTTAAAAATTTTTGCAGGAATAAAAAATATGCAAAAGGCCTTCCTGACATCTTAAAGATAATTACATTAAATTGTATATGATAATAGCTTTTTGTAAAAATAAGCTGCCAAAAAAAGTGTGGCATGGGGAAGGAAACAAGGTACCCATTAAACAAATCAAGAAGATTGTTATAAAGGCAAAAATGACAGGAATAGTGTCATTACATTGTGATACCAAGTGAGGTTTCTAGGAATGGGAGTTTCTCCTGCTAAAAACTGAAGAGATAAAAGTATTTCACCATTCTTGAGTGGAAAAAAGCATCTCTTAGTTCAAACCGGAAGGGCTCTGCTAAATTCATGGCTGAAAAAGATTCCAACTGATATATTTAAAAGAAAAAAAAAAGCCCATGAATGAAATCATTTTAAAACTGAAATAATCCTTGCAGATATGGGGATTGCTTATTAAGAGGAGTCTAACGGGCCCAAAGAAACAGGAAAACGACTGTACCCCAAATGCAGAAAACACGGGTAAGGAAAGGAAATGGCTCCCGACTGAGTTTTTATTTGCACTTGGGCTGTGTGTGTGTGCGTGTGTGTGTGTGTGTGTGTGTCTGTGTGACAGAGAGAGAGAGAGATCAAATAGGACAGAGCTGCAGGTGAACAGGCCCTTTGGTTGTCTGAAACACCTCCTTGGGGCTACCGCCTTTGTCGGCTCCACTGGGCTCCACAGCACACCCTATTCTCAAGGAGGCGGCTAAGTGATCCTACTATCTGAAGTGAACTTAGAGGATGTGATTATTATGATGCCAACCAGTAAGTTATTAAGGAAATAAGTCTGACAGGATATTCGGAGAGGCTTAGGAGCTTGCCTTCTAATAAAAGCTTTCTGAGCCCTTTAATTTTCTGAAACATGCCACAAAGCCTGAAAGGCTGCCTCTTACAACTGGGGGAGGAAGGGGCCCTCTCAATAAGGCCTCCGCAGAAAAACACCCCAAAGAAAACGACGGCAGTGGGATGCTGGCTAATCGTAAAAGGATTCTGGATCCCTTCTTTCTCCCACCCAGGTGGTCGAAACTATGGCGGACCACTGTCCTGAAAAGTCAGAAAAGAGCTTCTTGGCGAAAGACTAAAGTGGAAACTACAAGAAAATTCTTTACATTTCCTCCATGAACTTTCCAAATTCTTTTTCCCCCTTTCAAGCATTTGTGCAAATTATTTGGCTCCTTGGGTCTTAATCTTCAGGACGTTTTCTTTTTCAGGGCTTTTAGGGGAAAAGTCTGCAATTCCTTGCATTCTCTGGGCCATTTTCCTGGCTGATTTTTTTTTTTTTTCTGTTATTGTTATTTCTTTTCACCAGGAACGTCTAATGGAAACATGGTGAGCGGAGAGTTAGCAGGCTAGTGGAGCTTTCCCGTCTGTCCCCCCCCCCCTTTTTTTTTAAACACGGGGGTACCTTTACACGCTAAGGACTTCTAGATTTTACCCTCATTTCGTTTCATCCCCCTGGCTCGGTTTCGGAGGGTGAGGGCGGGAAGTGGCTGCATCTAAAAATGACAGAAAAACAAAGCTCTCTCTTGGCTGCTTTTTATTAGGGGGGGTAGATTTTTTTTTTTTTAATACTAAAAAATTATTAGAGGCCGTAGTTGGTGTTTAGAGAAAAGTTAATAAGTCAAACAGATTGGAGGCAAGAGCGCGGAGAATGAGACAACGAATAAAAGCCTTCCGTGCAGACGGGGGTGGGACGCAGCCGCTCGGGTTCGGGGTCCACCCTCATTCCCTTCGGCCGCAGATCCCGGGGAGCCGTCCACACCCGCACCTCGGGAAGAGGGGACTTCCCAACAAGGAACGAAAAGCCGCCTCGAAACTTAAGCGCGAGTTCTTTCAGCAGCTGCCGCCGAGCCCGAGCCCAGACCTGCCTTGGCTTCCCTGGGCACCGCGTGCCGGCCGGGATCCCGACCTCCCAGCCGCAGCGCCGCGCGGCTCCACGGGCTCCGGCCCGAGCAGGCGGTGGGCCCCGGGCCCGGGTCGGCGGAGCCCCTCGGGACGGGAGGCGCCGGGCAGGCGGAGGGGCCCCCCCCTCCCCGGCCCTCCTGGGCACGACCGCGTCGCCGCTCCCCGGCCGAGGCCGGCCGGCCCACGGAGTAAAGTACAAAGGCGGGCGACCGGGCCGCGGAGAGTGGGGGGGGAGGGAGGGGGGAGGGAGGAGGGGTGACGAAGGGGGGCCCGGGCGCGCCAGACGCGAGGCGCCCGCCCCTGCCAACCCTGCCCGCGGGCCCGGCCGCCGCAACAAAGACCCCCGACCCGGCCGCCTCCCTTCCGAGCGGGGGCGGCGAGCGAGGGAGCCGCGCCCCCCGGGGCTGCATTACCTGGTTGCAAAGGGTTAAGCGGTCCTGTCAGCCCCAAGTTCATGGTTTGGTTCCTTAGCAGGACTCACGATGGGGGATCGGCAGAGACCAGGGTAAAAACCAGCCAAACACACGAAGAGAAAACGCCCAACTCCGACCGGGCAGCGTCCGCAAGTCTCTCCTCGGTTCCTCGCGAAAGTCTGAAAGCGGATGCACGG